CACCCAGCTAATTTTCGTATTTTCAGTAGAGACAGGGTTTCACCATGTTGGCCAGGATGGTCTCAATCTCTTGACCTTGTGATCCACCCGCCTCAGCCTCCCAAAATGCTAGGATTACAGGCATGAACCACCGTGCCTGATGACTCCCTGGTTTAAGTGATTCTCTTGCCTTAGCCTCCTGAGTAGCTGGGATTACAGGCATGTGCCCAGCTAATTTTTGTATTTTTAGTAGAGACAGGGTTTCACCATGTTGGCCAGAATAGTCTCCATCTCCTGACCTCTTGATCCGCCTGCCTTGGCCTCCCAAAGTGCTGGGATTACAGGCATAAGCCACCGCGCCCGGCCACATTTGTTATATGTGGTCCAGAGTTTATGTATTGATCCAATAGGAGCTACTCAGCCACTGCTGGAAGCAGATCCTCCTTAACTCACTAACTTTTGAAGTCTTCACCAACTTCTTTTGGAACTTCAGTTAAGGACTGAAATGTGATTCTCCAGTGACATCTGGAGGAGCCCATTCCCGTCCTCTACAGCCTCTTACTGAATGTCCCTGTAGGGGATGTTGACTCTGTGAAGTGTTCCTCTTGTTGCTTTGCCCTTGAGGTCCGCAGATACTGGGATTTTTATTCTGTCACAGCATCACACCCATCAGTCAGAGTCTGGAATGGGAAGCCAGCAAAGGCAATGGACTGTGAAAGGAACAGACTCCAAGGCTCCTTCAGCTCTCCACTACACAGCACAAGTTCTCACCTGTGGCTGACACCGCCTTGCCCTTCCCTGGAAAACCTGATTCATCTTGGCTATTTTGTTTTTTGTTTTTTTCCCCAGGCTCAACAGGGCCAGTCAGACATACTTCTTCCCTATTCACTTGACGGACCAGCTTCTGCCCAGCGCCGTGTTCTATGCCACCGTGGGGCCTCTGGTGGTCTACTTTGCCATGCACCGTCTGATCATCAAACCGTACCTCAGGGCCCAGAGAGAGAAGTGAGTTAACATGTATGGGCACGTCACTAACCAGCCCTGTGCCTCAGTTTCCTCACCTTTAAAATGGAGAGGATAACAGCCTAGCGCGTAGGGTGATTAGGAAACCTGAATTAATTAATGCATGTAAGGCACTTAGGCTAATGTCTGGGCCACGACTGGTAAATGTTAACTAGTTATCATCATCGCCAGTAGTTGGACTGCTGTTATCTCTTCATTCGTAATTCCTGCTATTCCTACACTTAGAAAGGACTGGAGTTTATAAAAGCGTTGAGCCTCTAAACCATGGCCTCAAGAAATAAAAACTTACTTTTCCTTTCGTGGCACTGAGTTTAAGAGGAATGGGTTCTGGATTCTTATGTAAAGGGGCCTGCATTAACTATATAAAGTCTTATAAGTCAGAAATGTAATTTATTTTGCAGTTTCTTAGATAATCCATTGGGGCATGCTATGAAACCTAAATCATTAGTGCAAGCATCTCTATAGCAAACTGAGAGGTGGTATAGATTTGCTACTTTATAGTATCTCATTTAGTAAAGCATTGCTCTTAGGGAATCTCAGATAAAGGAATGAATCTCCTCTTCTGGGCCCCTCTGGCCTTTGGATTTGGAATCCTAGTTCCCTAGGAGCTTGAGGCTTGGAACAAGACATGTGCTGGCTCAGTCTTCTGGAAGGACAGGCCTCTGCTGACCCCAAGTCCCAAACATTGTTACAGGAAAGCAGATCTATGTGTCCGAAGTGGTGTTAGTTGTTCCTACCAAAAGTGTTACTTAATAACTCAAGCCTGTAATCCTAGCACTTTTCGAGGCTGAGACAATAGGATCACTTGAGCCCAGGAGATCGAGACTAAACTGGGCAATATAGTGAGACCCCCCCACCTCTATTTTAAAATTAAAAAAAAATAATAACAATCCCACAAGGTTGGTGGGATCTCTTGAAATTCTTACGTGGTGGGGTCTTCTTTCCAAAGAGACTGACAATGGGTATCCCGTTAGTTCCGGTGAGGAGGTAGGGCAGAGCCATCTGGGGGTAAGATGAAAGCTGCCAGCCTGTGACTAACAGACTTGCCTAAGACTGTCTGTTAGAATATTTTTCAAAGTTCTAGAACTGGAACTCCAGTAAGATCACAGACTGTTTGCTGGGCTCAGATCCAGCAAGGGAGGGGCTATGATGGCTGGAAGCTGGGCAGCACCACGCTAACGTGGGGCTTGTGTTCTTCTCGCTCAGGGAATTGGAGAAGCAAAGGGAAAGCGCCGCCACCAATGTGCTGCAGAAGAAGCAGGAGGCGGAGTCTGCTGTGAGTGCTGCTGCAGCGCCGGACACAGGGACGCTGCTCCTTACTACCGTTCTTAGGCAACACACTCCATACCCCACATGTTGGTCTCAAGGCCTTAGAGTCCAACTTCTCTTCTCCAATACCTTGGCTCACCATTTTAGTCTTTCTCTTGCCTGTGGGATGCAATACTTAGCCCTGCAGTCCCTGCCCTAAAGATAATTACCCTCCAAAGACATAACAAGGGCTTTTTTGAAGTGGTGACTATTGGCTTCTTTTTCTTCCCTCTGAGTGCTCTGCCTTTTATGGAGCATGAGGGAGCCGGTGTCCTGGGTAAGTGGCGAGCACACTGCCAAGTGCTTCATGGCAAGAAGGGCTGAAGTGGGCTGTCGGCCATGGGCATGGCCCAGCAAGCACATGCCTGTCTGAGGGGATGGCACAGCTATGCTCAGTAGAATGATGTGACTGGAGAACATGGGACCTATCAAGAGTAGCTGGGAGTCCAGCTTCTCCTGTGAAATCTTTCTTTTTAAAGCTGACAACGCATTCAGTGTTTTTTTTTATTGGGCCAAGAAATCCCACCCATGCATTTATCCCTAGAAAGGGAGCTCCCACCAATGGTCACAGGAGGGGTCATGCCAGTTCAGCTTCTCACCTTCTGACCGAGCTGCCTGCCCCAGGTCTAGGAGATTCAAAGCCAGCCACTTGGGTAGCAGAGCTGTCAGGGCGCCCACTCCCTTCCTCTGCAGGCCCTGAGCAGGTATGTTGACCTGGACAGAGACTGCCTGCCTGTGGCCCTCTGACCAAAGGTGGAGTGGGCCTGGTGGGGCCCTAACTGTGTCATCCTTGTTCTCTGGCAGGTCCGGCTGATGCAGGAATCTGTCCGAAGGATAATCGAGGCAGAAGAGTCCAGAATGGGTAAGAACATGTGTCCTCTTTTGGGCCAGGATGGGCGCTGGGGGTCTCCAAGCTGCACAGGGAGGTGCCCAGAGGAGGCCTTCCTCTACTGTGAGTCCGTCCTCAGGGCTCATCATCGTCAATGCCTGGTATGGGAAGTTTGTCAATGACAAGAGCAGGAAGAGTGAGAAGGTGAAGGTGATTGACGTGACTGTGCCCCTGCAGTGCCTGGTGAAGGATTCGAAGCTCATCCTAACGGAGGCCTCCAAGGTACAGCAGCACCAGCCACCATGTGCTAACTGTTCACAGATCTGAACAGGCTGGACGCAGTGACTTATGCCTGTAATCCTAGCACTTTGGGAGGCCAAGGTGGGTGGATGGCTTCAGCCCAGGAGTTCGAGATCAGCCTGGGCAACATGGCAAAACCCTGTCTCTACAAAAAAAGAGAAAATTAGCCGGGTGTGGTGGCATGCGCCTGTCATCCCAGCTGTTCATGGAGGATTGGTTGAGCCCGGGAGGTTGAGGCTACAGTGAGCTGTGATAGTGCTGCTGCACTCCAGCCAGGGTGACAGAGCAAGACCCTGTCTCCAAAACAAAAAGTGGTTTGAAGAACAGGTTCAGTCTGACAAGGACAGCCCGGCCGCTTGCAGTGGAATCTTGGCCGTCATCAGCATCTACTGCGTGGGATGCTGCCCAGCCCCCGAGTAATACCCACGTTGGAGCTATTTGCTTCATTCAGTCATTTCTGTCATCCACTCAGTAAGGATTTACTGAGCTCCTGCTGTGTGCCAGCCACACCAGCAAACAATACACAACTGCCTTCATGGCATGTGATTCTGTTTGTTTTTACCTCGTTCCAGAAAGAGCATGAGGTCACTTGTAACGTGTGGATCTCACCTCTGGGGCCTGGGGCCTTGCGTCCATGAAAATGCAGGTTAGCTCAGGCCAGAGAGCTCCTGGCTCCCTGGAAGTCTTCTAGTGTCTCTGTCTTGGTGGGCTTTCTGTGAAGATAGAGGTCTACTTGGTATGAGGAAGGGACCTTACTAAGAAGCAAGTCTTGGCAACTTTTCCAGATTCTTGTTTCTTTTTCTTCAAGCTCCAAAGTTTGCATCTCCCCAGGGAAAGCTGTGCACACTGCACCTCGGCTGGTAGTTAGGAGTGAGCGCTGGGTCTTACACCCTGTAGAGTATCTGGAGTATTTAGAGTAGCAATTTGTTTGTTACAGGCTGGGCTGCCTGGCTTTTATGACCCGTGTGTGGGTGAAGACAAGAACCTGAAAGTGCTCTATCAGTTCCGAGGCGTCCTGCATCAGGTGATGGTGCTGGACAGTGAGGCACTCCGGATACCAAAGCAGTGTGAGTAGCCGTCCCTTGGCAGCCACTAGCTAACGAGGGCAGAGACCTCACAGCAGCTGCTCAGTGTGTGGGCTTCCAGCCACCTTCCCTCAGCTTCCCACTTGGGAGCAGAGATGCTAGCTAGCCCTTGACCCATGATTCACTCAGAGCCCATGATTTGTGCCCTGAGAAACAGTGCTGGGGCCCTTTCACAGGTAGAATTAGAGGGAGCTCTTTGGAGCCTACAGCTTGAATGGCGGGGGGATGGAAGCAGACCTCCAGGTTCCCGAAGCAGTTGACTTTCAGCAGCTGGTGCTCTGTGTTGCCCCATCAGGAGAAAGGGCCATGGGAACGGCCACCTTCTAACCACCTGGGTCTGTCTTTTCCTTTACAGCCCACAGGATCGATACAGATGGATAAACTGCCTGAGAACCAGATTTTTAAAAGGCTGCAAAAAATCTTTTCTTCCTGGGAGTCTACAAATTTGGAAGCAGGGAAAAAACCCAGACATCAGATGTTTTTATTTTATATTATTATTATAGGAGGTGGTACCATATCAATTATGTGAAGGGACACACAGACACCCCAGCTTTTGAGGGTGCTGGGGGTAGGACTGAGGCAAGCCCCACTGGGAACCAGACTGCAGCGTGGCCATGGCTGTTTTCCCAAGGATTGGTTCCTGGAGGGAAGGGCGCTGGCCTTGACTCCGCCGGGTCCTCTGAGCACGCGTGCTGACCGCAGCGCGCCGCCCTATAGTTCTTGGTTGTGTCTGGAGGTGTTTGTGGAACACCCTGCCCACACCACAGGAGCGTGAGCTGCTTTTCCTGAAATCCATGCCGAACATGGGAAACAATGTGGAAAGGCAGGCAGGCCTCCAGGTCAGGGAGCATCTGCTGGGCTGACTTCCCACGACCACCTTCTCCTGCTGAAATATTACTGCGTGAATCTGGACCGGATTGCGGGTTTATAAAACTGCTTTTTAACTGAGAACAAACAGGTTTGGAAATTAGTCTTTTTTCCCCACTCCCAAAGCTGCTCAGATCATTCCAGCGGCCCCCTCAGCTTGGTACAGGGTAGTGTAACACCCGATCCCAGGGCCTGTCCCTGACAAGGTGGCTTCCTGTATCCCTGTGGGAAAACACCCTGCCACCAGCAGGCTCGAGCTGGCTTCTGTCCCTCCACTGCCTATACCACCCACCTCCAGAGTGCCGTGCTGGGTAATGGCAGCCCGAGAGGACAGGGCCAGGCGCTTCCAAGGGTGGGCAAGATCTCAGACACCGAACTCAGAGGTGTGGACTCCAGGCCTGGCCCATGGCACCCAGCAGGTGGCACTGCAACCCGCTGCTCTGGCAGGTCCTGAGTCCTCCTCACAGGGAACCAGGGCCTGTGCTCCAGAGTTGCCCTTCAGACCCTTCTTTCACATGTCCACTTGGGATGCAGAATGGGGCAGAGCTGGGGCCCCCTCAACAGCCTGAGCTTTGGCTGCAGTAAAGTTTCCTGAGGCCCGTCTCATGGGTCCTGGAAGTGGCAGCCATCAGTCGTCTCGCTGACCCCTCAGAGTGAGCGCCACATAGGCAGTGCCCTAGACAGCTGGCCCCGGGGCCCCGAAGTTGCACCAGCCTCCAGCCCACCCACAGCTGTTGCTAGTCAGGCCTCCCCCCAGCATAGGCATCTGAGTCACGGCAAAGAACCTCCTTCCTCTGGTTTTCAGAAGCACTTCAGATTGTCCAGTTCTGTAACATTCATCTCCATTTTTAAAAAATGTTTCCCGATGATAGACCCACAGCCTGAGCCGCGCTGAGCTTCATGTTGCATGAGCCTGGGCCCTGGGCTTCCCGTGCGCCTCTGCCGCAGGCGCTTCTGGGCACCCATCCTCTGCGTTCCATTTGCAGTCGACTGTACAGAAGGCACTCACCACAATAAACCTTTCCTGAAAGCAGAGGGTGGCGCTCTTCCATTTATCTTGTGTTCATCAAGAGGGAGCAATGTAAGGGGGGTGCCCCACCCCTTCCGAGGGGCCTCCTCCCTAGCCTTCTCACTCAACCACAGGCCTTCACCTGAAGCTGGGGTTTCATTTTCTATATTAAACATTTGCCCGTGCCAGAAAAGTGGCCCCCTCAAAAAAAAAAAAAAGATAGATTGAAAAAAACATTTGCAGCCGGGTGCGGTGGCTCAAGCCTGTAATCCCAGCACTTTTGGAGGCCGAGGCGGGTGGATCACGAGGTCAAGAGATCAAGACCATCCTGGTCAACAAGGTGAAAGCCCATCTCTACTAAAAATACAAAAATTAGCTGGGCATGGTGGCGCATGCCTGTAATCCCAGCTACTCGGGAGGCTGAGGCAGGAGAATTGCCTAAACCCAGGAGGTGGAGATTGCGGTGAGCCGAGATCACGCCATTGCACTCCAACCTGGGTAACAAGAGCGAAAGTCCGTCTCAAAAAAAAAAACATTTGCCCGAGAAATAGACCCCAAGTTAGGAAAGCAGTTAAGCTTCAACTTTTGTTATCTCTTTAATTCACTAAAATTATAAATTACATGAAATAGGAAGTCTTTTTTTTTGAAACAGAGCCTCACTCTGTGGCCCAGACTGGAGTGCAGTGGCATGATCTCAGCTCACCGCAACCTCTGCCTCCCGGGTTCAAATGATCCTCCTGCCTCAGCCTCCCCAGTAGCTGGGACTATAAGCAGGTGCCACCATGCCTGGCTAATTTTTGTACTTTTAGTTAGAGACAGGGTTTCACCATGTTAGCCAGACTGGTCTCAAACTCCTGACTTCAAGTGACCTCTCAAAGGGCTGGGATTACAAGCATGAGCCACTGCGCCCAGCCATGGAAGTCAGTCTTCTTAGAAGGAATCACAGCAGGAGAGAAAACAAAATGACGGAAGCGACATCATATAGAAAGACACTTTATTACACTGCCCACTCACACCAGCCTGGGACAGGAGTCACTCAAAACCCTGAGCAGCTGTCCAGGCTAATGGAGAAGGGAACCCACTCACTCGCCACAGAGATGGCCAGTGCTCCCTAACGTGGCTTCCTCAGGAGCATCTCCCACACTGGGGCTTCCAACTGTGCTAGCTCTGAAAGGACAGTGTCCAAAACCAGTTTCAGCCTGGACTTCTGTTGCCATGGGAGGATAAGCTCAACATGCCACAGATGTGCACTCCTGGTGCCATGCCTCTAAACGTCTCCCAGAAGCACTGGGATCTCGCTGGGGAGCTTAGCCACTGTCTCGATCCCCTGCCCAGCAGGCCTTATGGCCAACTTTCTCAGTATCCAGAGCACACAGAAATGTCCACAGCCAGAGCTGCAAAGCCCTGCCAGCCCTGGTGCCTCTGCCGCCCATGTGTCCGGAGCCCATGGGGCTCAGCTCTGCTGCTCTGGCCGAAGTCTGGCCTGGAGTCCCCAGTGCCCTTTGCAGGCTCGGAGGCGGGTGGACATCCTTTGCATCACCAGCCTCTGGGCCAGCAAGCGCTTCCGGAGCTTTTCATTTTCCTTCAGAGTGAGGAAGAGTTTTTTCTTCAGGGAATCTAAGTCCAAAAGGGCGTAGCTGTGATCAGATGGCTGCTTGGGGGGCCTTCTCAGGCCTGCAGGGCCGGCCAGCCAGCCAACAGCCTTTGTTGCTTGCGGCCTCTGTGGCAAGACCTGAGGACAGGGGGAAGTGAGAGCTGAGGGCTGCCTTGCCAGCAGAAGGCGGGCCACGGCAGGCCATCAGACACATCCAACACACCCCGCCATGGGCAGCAGGACGCTCCTGGCTGCTCTCCTGAAATCCAGATGTGTCCACACCATGCTGGTGAATTTTACTGGGAAGCTCTGAAACCAAGGCTGCGCACCTGCCTCAGCCGCACGGCTCTCATGTGATGTGTGCTCAGGACACTAGTTTCCATCGCGTTCAGAGCACTGGCCACCTCTGTACTTAGTCTTACCTGTTTTACGGGTCCTGCAGCATCTGGGGGCAACTGAAGCTCCTCATGCGCAGTGTTCATGTTTCTCCCAGGGCCATTCTCTCCGGCCCCCGCCTCAGGGAGGACCTGGGAACAGCAGGGTGAAGTCAGGCACTATAGCCCTGCAGATATGCATTTGGGGCCCTGCCGAAGCTGCTACTTTTCCCTCTGGGGTCCCTCTGGGGGAGTGGCAACAGCCAGGGACCAGCTCCGGGTCTGTGCCCCTGCACAAACAGCCAGCCTCTTCCTAACACTTTTATTTTTTGAGAGTCTCGCCCTGTCACCCAGGCTGGAGTGCAGTGGTATGATCTTGGCTCACTGCAACCTCTGCTCCGGGGTTCAAGCACTACTTATGCCTCAGCCTCCCCAGTAGCTGGAATTACAGGTGACCACCACGAACCCCAGTGAAATTTTTTCTTTTTTTGAGACGGAATCTAGCTCTACAGGAGTGCAGTGGCATGACCTCGGCTCACTGCAACCTCCACCTCCCAGGTTCAAGCAATTCTGCCTCAGCCTTCTGAGTAGCTGGGATGACAGGCACGCACAACCATGCCCAGCTGATTTTTTTATTTTGTTTTCTCTTGAGTTTAGCTCTTTCGTCCAGGCTAGAGTGAAGTGGCGTGATCTCAGCTCACTGCAAACTCTGCCTCCCGGGTTCAAGTGATTCTCCTCCCAAGTAGCTGGGATTATAAGCACCTACCACCACGCCCAGCTTATTTTTGTATTTTTAGTAGAGATAGGGTTACCAGGCTGGTCTCCAACTCCTGACCTCAGGCAATCCACACGCCTAGGCCACCCAAAGTGCTAGGATTACAGGTGTGAGCGACCACACCCAGCCTAATTTTTGTATTTTTAGTAGAGATAGAGTTTTATCATGTTGGCCAGGCTGGTCTCGAATTCCTGACCTCAGGTGATCTGCCTGCCTTGGCATCCCAAAGTGCTGGGATTACAGGCATGAGCCACCGTGCCCAACCCAGCTAACTTTTATAGTTTAAGTAAAGATGGCGTTTTACCATGTTGGCCAGGCTAGTCTCAAACTCTTAGCCTCAAGAAATCTACCCACCTCCCCCAAGTGCTGGGATTACAAGTGTGAGCCACCATACCCGGCCCTGAAACTAAACTTTAAGAAATCAGGCAGGCCGGGGGCAGTGAAATCAGGCACAGCCAGGTGCGGTGGCTGCCACCTATTGAGAGGCCACAGCAGGAGAATCTCTTGAATCCAAGGGTTTGAGATCAGACTGGGCAAGAGAACAAGACCCCCACCTCTACAAAACAAATTTTTTTTTTAATTAGCTGGGTGTGGTAGCATATGCCTATGGTCCCAGCCACTTGGGAGGCTGAAATGGGAGGATGGCTTGGTCCTGGGAGGATGAAGCTGCCATAGTCATGACTGCACCACTGAATCGAGTCTGGGCAACAGACTGAAACCTGTCTCAAAAACAAAAACAAAAAATGTTGGGCGCAGTGACTCCAGTAGTTTGAGACCAGCCTGGGTAAAATAGCAAGACCCTATCTATACCAAAAAAGGGGGGTCCAGGCATGGTGGTTCACGCCTGTAATCCCAGCACTTTGGGAGGCTGAGGCGGGTGGATCACTACAGGTCAGGAGTTTGAGACCAGCCTGGCCAACATGGTAAAATCCCATCTCTACTAAAAAAAATACAAAAATCAGCCAGACATGGTGGCAGGCATCTGTAATCCCAGCTACTCGGGAGGCTGAGGCAGGAGAATCACTTGAACCTAGAAGGAGGTTGCAGTAAGCCAAGATTGTGCCCCTGCACTCCAGCCTGGGTGACAGAGCGTGACTCCGTCTCAAAAAAAAAAAAAAAAAAAAAAAAGAGAGAGAATCAGGCACCATCCTTACTAGCAACTGAGATTCTTTGATATTGAAAAGAAGGAAGCTCAGAGGCTTAGACCTTCCCTCCGGAAAAATAGGGAATCCAAACTGGCATATGAGGAAAGGCAGCAACCCCACAGGCCAACCTCACTGGGAAAATGCTGCCTCCCTGTCTCAACCCACAGCATAATGTAAACATTCAAGCACCTGGCCCAGTGCACGCACCTTTTCTTTCTGAGAAGAGCTGGCATTTCCTCTCTCACTGGCAGGGTCTGTGTTCTCCCTCACCTGCTGCAAGAGACACACACACAGTGGACATGGACCCCAAGAACCCTCAGAGCTCAGGGCAGGCCTTGGGCATCATGGTTGTCCTGAGTGCTCAGCCCACTGCATGCCACAATCAATGAACGTTTGCTAAATTAAACTGACCTGAAGCCCAACCCAACTCACCCTGCCTACCTGGTCCACTTCCCTTTCTCAAAAGATGTTCCCAAATCATGGTCAGAGTGCCCTGAATAGGTCCCTGTAGAGCTAGGGAGCAATCTACTTCCTATGCGTCACCCCACAATCGCCAGCAAGCAGCAGAAGCCCAGTTCACCACTCAAGGTGCCACTGACGCAGAACCTGCAGCCCGTGGGCTGGGCCGGTGCAGGGACCACATGGTGCAGAGCTGGCAGGGGCTGTACCCAGCTTCTCTCCACCACCTGGCTCTGGAAGCACTGAGGGCTACAATGACAAATGTCCCCCACTCCTCGTGACTCAACTGTCATCTTTCCGGGACAAACATGTTATCACAAACACGTGAAAGTGATTAAACTGCTCATCTATGGACACACACCCTGAACACCTGTGCTGTGCCAGGCAGCGTCCTGGGTATGGAGCCTGAAGCAGGGAACGCAGCCCCTGCCCTTGTGGAGCTTCTGTTCCAGGGAGAAAACAAAACCAGTGAGGGAAACAGGAAGGATGGCAGGGGCCCCAGGGGCCAGGAAGACCGAGGGGCAGGAAAGGGTTGGAGGCCAGCAAGGATATGAGGGTGTGGGAGGGCTTCCTGAAGAAGGGACAGCCGACCTGAAGAGGGCGAGGCAGCACTCGTGAGGCCATCTGGAAAGGTTGCTGGGGCAGATGGGGCAGGGGCTCCCAGGCGGCCACTCTGGGCCTGTTGGCTATGCAGCCACCTTGTTCTTCCCATGGGCTCCACTCTTCACTCATGGGTCCCTTTCCTCTCCCAATAGATCCACCAGCACAGGGAGCTGCTGGCCTATGGTTTGTCTGGCCACCACTCTGCCTGCCCACTACAGGTAGGTGCCCCTGTGGCCTAGAATCCGATCTCAAGGCTTCAGCATCCAATTTTTCGTGAGCCCTCTCCTGAGCCAGGCCCGCACAGCCCACCTCCACCAAGGCAATCTTGGCTCACTGCAACCTCTGCCTTCATTCAAGCGATTCTCCTGCCTCAGCCTCCCGAGTATAGGCATGTGCCACCACACCCAACTAATTTTTTATTTTTAATAGAGACGGGGTTTCAATATATTGGCCAGGCTGGTCTCGAACTCATTACCTCAGGTGATCCACTCGCCTCAGCCTACCAAAGTATTGGGATTACAGGCGTGAGCCACTGTTCCCAGCCATAGAATGATTCATCTTTAAAGTGGCTTTAAATTATGACTTCTCTTAAAGCCGAGGTCATGGCCGGCAGAGCCAGAGGGCTGTGGACCCCGGAGGCATGACAGTGCTGTTGTCACTGTAGGTCCTGGCCTTGGCTTTCCCCACACATGCCGCCACCACCACTGCACCCAGCTGCTGGGGGGTGGTGCAGGCCGGATGTGAGCAGACCAAGATGCAGCGCGCACCTACCTGTGTGGGGTCCTGAAAGGCAAACACCGTGGGCACGGCATTGTGCTTCAGGTTCTTGCGGTTTCCAAAGGCACTGAAGCACTCTGGCCTGAAGTGCTCAGAGCAGATGACCGTATGCTGCTTGGGCTTGAAGTTGCCCCGGCCAATGTTCAGCACCCATTCCTTCAGCAGCTCCGGGCGGCTGAACGGAAACCTGAGGGCAGAGGCAGGGATGTGAGGACCAGCAGACTGGACCGAGCCCCTCAGCGTCACATGGAATTTTCACATCATCACAGAGTATTTCACTGAACAGCTGTGGACATTCAGTCCTCTCATTTTGTTAAATCACATCTAATTTCTGGAAGCTTCTGTCACAGCTGCTAAAGCGTCCTTAATAGGAAACCCAAGACCACGAGCATGGCCAGAAAGCCCAAGTGAGCCGTTTCCAATGCTACATTTGCCAGGAGCCAGGCCCTGTTTTGGTGCTGGGGATGGGGGGTGATGAGACAAAGTCCTTGCCCCCAAGGAGCTGATATTATCGAGAGGGGGCACAGCCAACGAGCCACACAGATATGGACGGCATCTTCCGGGGATGACAGCTGCTCCAGAGAAAGGACAGAGGGAAGCCCTGGGGTGGTCAGGAAAGGCAGCTGAAGGGGCAAGGTTGGAGCACAGACCACGGAAGTGGGAGCACAAGCCTCGAGGGGTTAGGGGGAACAACAGGAGCAGCCACCCATGCAGGTCTGGTTGAAACAGCAAGAGGGAGTGGGGACTGCATGACACAAGGCCCTGAGCAGCTGGGGAGTCCCTGGAGGCTCTAGGCAGAGGTGAGATGGAACCTGAGTCCACCCTGGCTGCTGTGGGACCAGGCGCTGGCAAGAAGTGGTAATGAGAGGGCAGATTTGGATGTATTTTGAAAGCCATGCAGTAAGGTCTGCCTGTAGATGGTGAAACAGAGAAGGAAGGAGTTTCATGTTTGAGATAAAAGAAGTTACAGGAGGTCAGGTTTATGGGATCAGAAATTTGTTTTATAGAAGCTTAGCATGGTGGCTCATGCCTGTAATCTCAGCACTTTGGGAGGCCAAGGCAGGTGGACTGCCTGAACTCAGGAGTTAGAGAGCAGCCTGGCCAACATGGCAAAACCCCATCTCTACTAAAAATACAAAAATTAGCCCAACGTGGTGGCACACTCCTGTAATCCCAGCTACTTGGGAGGCTGAGGCAGGAGAATCCCTTGAACCAGGGAGGCAGAGGTTTCGGTGAGCTGAGATTGCGCCACCACACTCCATCTGGGCAACAAATTGAGAGCCTGTCTCCAAAACAAAAAAAAAGTTTGTTTCATATGTTAGGAGTTAAATTCGAGGTGCTTTTTAGGCTACCCATCTGCTAGGGTGACAGGTAGCCACACGCCTCTGGAGACATCAGCGTGGAGGACGACCCTGCAGAACCGATAAGCCTGGTGGAGATCAGCCCCTGGGGAGCAAGTGTGGACAGAGGCCACCCAGGCCATGGCACACTCCAGGGCTCCCAACACTTAGTGCTAGAAATAAGGAGGAGCCAGCAAAGGAGACTGAGAAGGGACACCTGTCGCTGAGAAGTGTCCCAGACATCTTGTGAGAAAAGTGACCCAGGGTCAGGGGTCAGTTGCGTGAAATGCTACACAGCAGTCGATTAGCATCACAAGGCTCACCAGTAACCTGACAGAGCTCTCATGGGAGTGGAGAGAACAGCTTCAAGAGAGGAGTGGCAACTCCATTCCCAGGTATATACCAAACAGACAGATGCACCACAAGTCCCAGCAAAACTGGCCAGAACAATGTTTTTGTTTTTGTTTTAAGATGGAGTTTCACTCTGTCGCCCAGGCTGTGGAGTGCAGCGGCGCAATCTCAGCTCATCCCGGCATCAAGAGATTCTCCTGCCTCACCCTCCCAAGTAGCTGGGATTTCAGGCAAGCGCTACCACACCCAGCTAATTTTTGTATTTTTAGTAGAGACGGGTTTTCACCATGTTGATCAGGCTGGTCACAAACTGCTGACCTCAGGTGATCCAGCCTTGGCCTCCCGAAGTGCTGGGATTACAGGTGTGATCCACTGCAAGCAGCCACCAGAACAATGTATTTGTCATTCAATAAACAGGGCCACCCCAATGCCCCTTCAGTTGTAGAACAAATCAGTAAGTTCTGGTACTTGCATTCAATAGAATACTATGCAGCAATGAAAGGGAATGAACTGTAATCCACCCCGATAGAGGGTTCCCCTTGGGCAGGAGAGAGAAGGAGGATCTGGGAGGGGTCCAGGTGTGGGGGGTCTTCTCAGGAGTAGTGATGTTTTCTTATTTTATTTCGTATTCTCAGATGAGGGATTGCTCTGTCACCCAGGCTACAGTGCAGTAGCAAGATTATAGCTCACTGCAGCCTCGAACCTGGATTCAAGCAATCTTCCTACTTCAGTCTTCTGAGCAGCTGGGACTACAGGGGCACACCATCTTGCCTGGCTAATTTTTAAAAATTATTTATAGAGATAGGGTCTCATTCTGTTGTCCAGGCTAGTCTCGAACTCCCAGGCTCAAGCTATCCTCCCGCCTCAGCCTCCCAAAATGCTGGGCTAACAGGCGTGAGCCACCGCACCCAGCTGGTAACTTTTCGGTTCAGCGGCTTTCACCTGGGGAAAACTTGCGGGGCTGTTTACTTGCAATCCATGCATTTTTCTCCATGTATGCTATGTATACTTCAAGCAAAGCATTTATCATAAAACAGAGTAAAATGGGAGCAGAGGGAATGCGAACGATCAGCACAAGCCTCCCTTCGGAGATGTGCCCAAAAGTGGGTAGAGAAATGGTGCGGTGGCTGAACCTTGGAGAAAGCTCAACTTCCACCGCGGACCAAGGACGATTGCTCCTGGGCCGGGCCGAGGGGTCCTGGGAGTGCAGGAACAGACTCCAACGTGTCCAGCATCCTCCCGCAACCCTGCAAAGTCCCTTGCCACTGCCCTCATGCCCCTGCGGGATCCACTCCTTCACTGCAGCGCCCAGATCCCGGGCTCCCTTCACGACGGCGCGCGGCGCGGGCTGCAGGGGCCAGGGACACAGCAAACCCCGGCTGCGGCCCGCTCATCCGTTCAGCAGACACCCTCCGCTCCAGGCGCGCCCCGGCCCCGGCCCCGCCAGGTACTCTGCAGCCCCTCCGTCCTCCCCGCCCCGCGTCCCGCGGCGGGCGAGGCGGCGCCTGCCCCTCTGGGCCCATCACCTCGGCCTGTCCCCGGGTGCGGCGGCAGCATGCCCTCGGGCCTCCGGGGCGTTCCCGCCCGGCGCGCCGAGGCCTCCAAGTCTGTCCGCGAGGCCTGGGTCCGGTACTCCCGCGCCCTCGGGCCCAGGCCTCTTACCGGTGGAAGGTAAGTTGCTTCCTGCGGCTGCTGTAACGGTTGCAGCACTGCCGGGCCGCGCACGACTTCGGCATCTCCAGAGCCAGGCCCGGCTGCCCCCAACAAAGATGGCGGCGGCGGTGCCGATGGGACCTGCCGGGAGGGGCGGGGCCTGCCGGGAGGTGGAGACGGGCCTGGCTCGGCTCCAGGGCGCGCTCCTCCCGTGGTCCCCGCGACCCGCATCTCCCCAGGGTCGGACGGGGCCCGGGGCGCCACGTCACTGGGTGCTCCGGTCCCCAACTCAGGCCCGAAACGCCAACTCCTAGCCTTGGGCCTGGGCAGGTCTTACCCCATTCGCCAAAGCCGGTCGCTTTTCACCTCGTTGCTTAGAGTACCCAACCAGGACTCAGCCACCCACAGGCTTGGACAACTGGAAACCAAGGCCAACCCCACAGCGTTTAGGGCTTTGAGGTGTGCATAGGTCTGGACTCCTCTGACGTTACTGGAGATGCTACTAGTTGACCACTGGTGGTGTCAGTTCAGGGGCCAGACAGAAATTTGGGCACTGGGAACCCCCAAACGTGAAGGGGCAAAAAGGGCACCCGCGGGGAGGGAGATTCCAGTCCTGGCCTTGCATAAACTCCCAGGAGCTAAAGGTTTCTCGCAGGCTATAGGGAAGGCCTCATCTTGTAAGGAAAAAAAAAAATCAGCCAAGCACAGTAGCTCACGCCTGTGATCACAGCTGTTTGGGAGGCTGAGGCGAGCGGATCACCTGAGCCCAGGAGTTCGAAGCCAGCCTGGCCAACATGGTGAAACCCCATCTCTACCAAAACTACAAAAATTAGCCGGGCATGGTGGCAGGCACCTGTAATCCCAGCTACTCAGGAGGCTGAGGCAGGAAAATAGCTTGAACCCAGGAGGCAGAGGTTGCAATGAGCCGACCTTAGGTGACAAAAGCAAAACTGTCTCAAAAACGGCTGGGTGGGGGGGGCAGCTCACTGGCTCACAACTAATCCCAGCACTTTGGGAGGCGAAGTGGGCAGATCACAAGGTCAGCATATCAAGACCATTGTGGCTAACACAGTGAAACTGTCTCTACTAAAAATACAAAAAAATTAGCCAGGTGTGGTGGCATGTGCTTGCAGTTCCAGCTACTCCGGGAGGCTGAGGTAGGAGAATCACTTGAATCCTGGAGGGCAGAGGTCACAAGTGAACCAAGACTGCGCCACTACACACCAGCCTGGGCAACAGAGTGAGTCTCCATCTCATAAAAAAAATAATAATAAATAGGCTAAACACTCACTGGGGCTTGAGCTAATCCACAATCTGATGAAGAAAATGCAAAAACCATTCACATTTACTCATCCTGTGGTTTCTGAGGAATTCTCCAGCAAAATACATTAATGCTATGGGCATTTTCCATCCCGCTAAGTGCACACTGATACTCTGCCTTCCCAGAGACTTCATGTAATCATGATTTGGGGAGGTAGCAAGGAAAGAAACAACTGTTCTTCAGCACAGAACGCAATCACCTGAACCTTAAATCATGAACCTCAAAGTAGCAATATGGTTTATTTACAAAATATACAGTTTCACAGAAACAGCTTCGCTTTATACACATAAACTTTAAAATTACACAGAACCATGTAAACGATGTGAAGTGTCTGGCCTGGCCAAAGCCGATGGGAGGGCCAACTTTTGGGGTGACGTCCCTCCCTCCCCTCACTTCATTAGCCACCAACCAGGAGCCCCAGATGGGTCATGCCTAATTTGCATAAAGAAGCTGATTGCAGCTGCCCAGCTCAATCTAACACAAAAACCAAGGTGTCCGACTTCTTAGACACCACCCACAGGGACAGGCCTGTTAAAAGAACAAAAATGCAATCAAGGAAACAGCAATGGAGATGAGTATCGCATGCATTCCAGAGGTGTCGAACCTTCTAACACAGGACAGTCGCCAGGGCCGGCAGTTCCACTCTAAAGTCACATGGATTCTTAAATGCACCTTTAAAAACTTGTGGAATTTTTTTTTTTTTTTAAAGAAGAAAAACACTTTGGAGCTTTGGTTATTCATATGATGAAGACACTGGACAGGCATTATCATAGGGCAGGATCTTTGGCAAATTCCTCTCCAATGCGTCCTGGATGTTTGCCCTAGTCAGAGCCAGACAATGGGGTGGAGAGAAGGTTGTTTCTAAACCAGCTTACTGTCTTTCTCTACAGAACCTTCCCTTGGGGATCTTCACAATAAACTGGCTTCAGAAACTCACTCTCTAGTTTTGTGTTAATACAAGCAACAGAACTTTAAAAAAGTAAGACGGTTGGTTGGACAAGTGTGAAAGATATTAGGACAAAAAAAAAAAATGCCTCTGATTAGCCAAATTACGGTTCAAGCCCCTTGGTGCTTCAGTGGAAGGAGGTGGGAGGAGTCTGCCTGGTGGCCTGGCACAAAGGTGCCAACGCGAAGGGGAAGCCCCCCGCAGGGAGCGCTCAGGCCCATCCTGCTAAAAATAAACATGACCCCCTTGGGCATTCTTCCCTTTCCATGCCTTACGAGAAACAATGCTTATGAAAACCTACCAATTACAAAACGTTTTGAGAACAAGTATTCAAACTGCTAAAGAGCAATGCTCATTTTGGAGAAAGCCGGAGCCCCTCTCCCTCCCAGCCCCAGAACCACCAGTGTCCCGGGATCCCCTGCCCTCGAGCAGAGTTCTTCTAAAGCCTCCAGCACCAACTCCCAGCCTTCTCCAGAGCTGGCCCTCACACGGACGTCCCAAGTCCAAGATCTTGGGAGTTCCTTAGATCTCCCAGCAAAGATCTAAGGAACTCAGCACAGTTCCAAGGTGTCTTCTGGAAAGCCCATGTTACCCTATCACTCACTAAACAACTCAAACCAGAAAAAAAGGACTCAAGTCCTAACCTTGCCCTGTGGAACCGGCAGGCCAGCCTGTCTAAAGGGCATACAAGAGTCACCCAAGGGAGAGGTCTCCCTCCCAACTCTCCTTTACCCTATTATTTAAAGGAACACCATGCGGGTCCCAGTGATTGCCTAACCTTTATGCTGCTACAATAAGATGAAAGGAAGAGAACAGAACCTACGAGTTCCCACACTCAAAAACAGCTGGCCTGGGCCCCACCAGGACCTCATACACCAACCGAGAGGGCGCTCAGCAAGAAATCAGCCAATACTTTTGGCTGCATCGTGCAAAAAGACAGGGTTTTTACATCGTGCAAAACAGGAAACTGAGTTATGAACATGGGCCACTTCAATCCCCCAACCAATCCCCTTTCCACAGAGAAGCAGCCACATTGTCCCTTTTAACAAACAGAAGGAAACCTAAGAACCACGCGCTGACCCACCACCCCAGGGCCCCTCAAGCAGAGCCCGAGGCCTCCCACCAGTGCCTCCCCCAGCCTGTCAGGCAGAGCTGAGGCAGGTAGAGGGCAAGCCACTAAGTAGGGGCAACTTAGATGGTTGCTGTACAGACACTTTTGGTAAAAGACTTTAACACGCAAGAAAAAGTTTACACGTATGGCTGTTAATTAACAGGCCGGGGAAACCGAACACCTCTCCCCAACACAGTGGAAGCAGAGTAACAACTGGCACTCAGCCCAATAAGCGGGAATCTGTTAGCAATGATAGCAAAACACACAGCTACCATGGACCCTCATTTTCAAGTGAGCCAAACGCGCTGCACGTAGGTGTCCGGTCTACCTCCACTGCAGGGAACACAGCTCTGGCAGCAGCGCTGGCCAGCAAAGGTTGCATTCGGTCACTGGCTATGTACAGTTTCTATCTGGACAGCATGTCCTTTTGCTTAGGCACCTAAATGGCAGAGGTCTGCCCCCACCAGAGCTGAGAGTTCTGTGCTCAACTAAGAGAAGGGCTAAGAAGCCCACTGTCGCTTCTGATTCCACGCTTGCAGCCTCCTCACCAGCCAGCAGTCAGTCCAGGAATAGCTTCCGGGAGCCCATCCGCGATCGGTTGGAACGGCGGATGTCAAACTTGGAGTCCCGGCACTTTTGGCAGACAAACACTTCCGGAACATTGGACTTCCGGATTTTCGCACAGGACAGGTGAATCCAGGTGTGGCACTCATTACACTCGATCATGGGGCGGCCAGCAAAGGGCTTCATGCAGAAGCAGGTAACAAGGTCCCAGGAATCGTCATCTGGAAGGAAAAACACTTATCTTAAGGAGGGAAGAGAAATTCCCATGATTCCTCGCCATCAGCTGGGCTTCCGTGAAACCCATTACTCAACCGAGAAGAACACTCCACTTCCATGTGAGGTTGATAATATCTCTATAAAAAGGCATAAAGGGCTCCATAATGTGTGGGAACCAGGTATTACCCAAGAGATGCTTACTTTTTTCTGAGACAGGGTCTCACTCTGTCACCCTGGCCAGAGTGTAGTGGCACAATCATACCTCACCGCAGCCTCAAACTCCTGTGCTCAAGCCATCCTCCCACCTCAGCCTCCCAAGTAGCTAGGACTACAGGCACACACTACCAAGCCTGGCTAATTTTTGTACTTTTTTCTTTTTTTAAAATTGAGACGGAGTTTTGCGCTTGTTGCCCAAGCTGGAGTGCAATGGTGTGATCTTGGCTCACTACAACTTCTGCCTCCCAAGTAGCTGGGATTACAGGCGCCTGCCACCACACCCAGTTAATTTTTTATATTTTTAGTAGAGCCAGGATTTCACCATGGTTACAGGCACGCGCCACCTTGCCCAGCTAATTTTTTGTATTTGTTAGAGACGGGGTTTCACCATGTTGACCAGGATGGTCTCGATCTCTTAACCTCGTGATCCACCCACCTCAGCCTCCCAAAGTGCTGGGATTACAGGCTTGAGCCACGGCGCCCGGCCTTTTGTATGTTTTTGTAGCAACAGGGCTTTGCCATGCGACCAGGCTGTTCTCAAACTCCTGAGCTGAAGCAATCCAACCGCCTTAACCTCCCAAAGTGCTGGGATTACTGCTGGACTCACTGCAACCAGCTTGGATGCTCACTTGGATGCTTACTTAGAACTATATCCTTTTTTTTTTTTTTTTTTTTTTGCCAATCAGTTTGAGCTTATGAGGTTGCTCAGGTTAGCCTTGAACTGATGACCTCGCCTTCGCGAGCGCCATGACCTCCGGTGGGAGCCACTTTGGACCCCCAGAACTATATCCTTTTAGCAGCCAAGGTGGCTTACACCTA